AATAAATAGATTATCAAATTATTTTTCAACATAATTAAAATTTACACTATTATTCATAAAAGTATAATAAAATAGATTACTAGTCGTATAATTCATAAAAGGAAAACAACATTAATTCCTAAATTTAATATTGAATGTAAATTACTAATAAGTTAAATAGATCACTAGTAGTAATTCATAAAAAACAACATTAATTCAAAAATAGATTACTAATACGTTAATGTTGAATTTAATATTTAATTTCAAATAAGTTTCTAAATTAATTCCTACATCCATTACAACCATTTGGTAATCTTTCCAAATTCAAAGTGTGTCATTAGTTACACCCCCATAACACATTAAGTCATAAATATGGATAGTTTTGGAATCCGAAAAATACAATAAATCAGATTTTAAGTTATATTAGGTAACTTGCTTAGTTGGATCCTAGTCATCGGGTATTATTTGAAAATTTTGGGTATTTTAAATAGAAAACTAAAAGAAAGGGTTGTAGGTGATTTAAAATGAATTTTATGGGTTTAAGCTCAATTTACTATATAATTATATTATTATATGAATACGTCAATTAGACCAGTTGATCAAAATAACGAGTCGGTTATTTACACTCAAATTCGAATTCTACTATTCATAAATTGGATTAATTTATAGTAGTTTTAACTTACACCACCAATTCTATAATAAAGTTATCATATTTTTTATAACAGTTTTTATTATTATTATTTTGTTTTAAACTATAATATTTTTGTATTTGTAGAGTGTGATATTTTTGTGAACATTGATATTTAAAAATATTTGTTTACAGGTGGCTATTGGGTCTGGGGATGCAAAGCATTTAGAGAAAGTTAGGGAGGCCCAATTGGGAATAAAGGTTCCAAATGTGGTTTGTGTGGATGCAAAGGGGTTGGAGCTCAAAGATGACCATCTACACCTGACCACCAAGGCCCAGGTTCAATTGGGTCACATGTTGGCTGATGCTTACATCAAACACTTTGTATCATCAGAAGCCCATGCTCATCCTGCCCTTTAAAAGTAAACAGTCAAATTTCGTTGTGTTGTTTATTTGTTTGTCGGTCTCCTTTAACTTGTTGGCTTTGTGCTACAACTAAATAGGGAGCATTTTTTTATCATCATTTTAACCCAAGGTGTACGCTCACCGCCATTCTCAACATTTGACACGTGTTTATTGATATAATCATGGTTGCATAAATACAAAGTAAAGAGAGTTAATTATGATTATGTCAAGAGACACGTGTCAAGCGTTGAAAATAATGGTGATAGTACACCTTATACAAAGTAAAGAGAGTTAATTATGATTATGTCAAGAGACACGTGTCAAGCGTTGAAAATAATGGTGATAGTACACCTTGAATTAAAGTGGTGAGTAAAAATATACCCCAACTAAATATCAGCACGTCTTAAGTTCGACGACTGTCGTGTATTACTAGACTAGACTATTGTAGACTCTGTATGCTTTTGTTATTGACCCACTGAGGTTCAGGCCTTCTAGTGGGTTGAATGTAGCTTTTGGGCTTTTGGTCCACTGAGCCTATCAGGCCTGATACTAAGGGAGCTTCTATAATGAGGATGCTATTTGAGGAGTTTATCTGAGGAGGCCCATCTCACCATCAAAAGGGGTGTGGACCCCCCAATGCACCCCCCCTAATGTGCTTTGTTTTTTGTTGTTGATGGTGAGATTTCACCTCCTCAAATAACCTCCTCACTCAATCTCCTCATTCTAGCCTTTCCGTAATACTAAACCTTAGATCTTTGTTAATGTTCCTATCTTCGTTTGATTACACTGCAGTCTGTCTACTCATTGAATTAACAACATTATCATCGTCACTTTCATCCTATTTTTTAAGTGAACTTCAAAATGATGATAACTTCATAAAGTCTACATAGAAATGGTTTTAAATATAAATGAATTCTTGACATTTTTTTTGAAAAGCGCACACATGCTTATAAGCGTTTTTTTGACTCATCGGTACTTTTTATGTTTTTCTTGATTTCTTCCTAGTAGAATTATCCCATCTAATCATACGAATAAACCCGGTTATTTCCCCTGTGCTTGTGGATGGCTTCTTCCTAGATGATTTCGTGCTAGATTTTTGTCTCCTTGTGTTTTGCAAGGTTTGTCTCATACCTAGTTGTTTTAGGGTCTTCATCTTTGTAGATCAGTCTTTTTCACCTATGTTGTGGGGGCCTTGGAGTTTTGGAGTTAATGAGGTGGATCTCCATCGATCTCCGTGATGAGGGGTGGAATTATTGATTTTGTGGATCCACTATCTGCTTTGAGTTTTAAGGGCGTTTGGGAAAAGTTGTGATCATGTGTCCTAGTGGAAGTTGAGCAAGATTTGATTTTTCGTTTATAGGTGTTTCAGGTGTTTCTTATCTCCAACTCTCAAATTAGTGGAGAGTTTTATCTCTCATCAAATCTTCTTACAACACTGGATGCAATGACCTTATGAATTCTCTTATGTTTTTCAATTCCTGATAAACTGTTATGAGTGAAGTAATTCGTAACTAACTCATCACCTTTTAAATTCCAAAAGATATTTTACTTTTGCAATATTATTAAGACACAAAATGCAATGCAGCAGCCACCCTCCCAAAGCTTTAAAGGTACCTAAGTTCAACTTGCTTGTAGAGTATTAACAGAAGTTCAAAACAAAGTCTTGTTAGGTTAGGGAGCCGTACAATGATTTCTTCTAATCGAAGCGAAAACGAATTTTTATTCCAACACCAACCCCCCAAAAACATAAAATAATTTAACATATGGCACGTGGACCCCGCCCACGCACTCTGTCTTTGATACTTGACGAGATCTCATGCTGGATCTGATAGCATATCCTAGATTTTTCATTTATTTATTTTAATTATTATTTCGCTTTCCATCTCTGCCAAGTACCAACCAACCCCCAGCCACTGAGATCGATGAGAGGAAGAAGGGGAAATATCATTTGCCATGCGCGGGAGACAACTTGCATTTACCAATCTATAGGTTTATTGTTTTTTTTTTTCTTTCCTTTTTCTAGTAACGAGAGATTTGAATTTGGAATCTCTTTTAACGTTGAGAAAAATATACCATGTATCAAAAGTTGGTAGGTACATGTATCAAGGTCTAGTAACGGGCGATTTGAACTTGAATTCTTTTTCAACATTGGGAAGAATATACAATGTATCAAGAGCTAGTTCATTTAATCAAATCTATTGTTAACTTATAAGATAAACATAATATTTAATTTGACTTTTTCAATTATATAATGGAATCTCAAGATGAGATATTTAGTTATATACTCATTCTTAGCACTCGTGATATAGATAAACCCTACATAATTTAATTTTTATAAACAAACTCGAAAAATCATAGTTGGCTTTATTGAATTTAATTTTAATTATTAAATTATTTTAATGCCCTATTGAGTATTTAAAGTTTTATCAACGGAAATTCTGAATGATTTTTATTTATACCAAATATTAAAAAAAGCTGTTATTGGATAAAAGGCAAGAAAAGGAAAGAACAGGAAATAGTGATGTGGCTAAGCGGGGTTGGTGTTTTACCAAAAACTAAACTTATTGGAGAAAGTTGACCCTAAAAAAAAAAACTTATTGGAGAAAAGTCCAGAACCCCAAAACACTCTCTCTCTCTCTCCTCCACTCTCGCTCCTCCTACCTTTTCCCCTATTTTCCCTCCCCCGCAAGACCAGCGCGTGAAACTCCCGCCTGTCTCCAACATTTCTACCTGAGTCTGAGGGCTGACCTCACACAATCTCTCTCCCCACTTTCCATCTCACCAAACCCACCCACCCCACGCAACTATATATTCAAAAGTACCCACCAACACACCCACACACCCACTCTCCACCGCTAAAATCAACGCCAGCGCCACCAACACAATGGCCACGTCAGCACCCCACGCCCTCCGCACCCCATTTCTCCGAAACCCCTCCCTCTCTCTCTCCTCCAAGCCTACTCTCTCCTCCGTTTTCCCCGTCTCTCTCTCCTCGCGCCGCCGGGCCTCGCCGAGGCTCGTGGTGGTGCTCTCCGCTGCCCGTCTCGATGCCAAGCCCACCGTTCTGGTCGCCGAGAAGCTCGGTGAGGCCGGGCTCGACCTCCTCAAGGAATTCGCTAATGTCGACTGCTCCTACAACCTTAGCCCCGAAGAGCTCTGCACCAAGATCTCGCTCTGCGACGCGTTGATCGTGAGGAGCGGGACCAAGGTCAGCCGTGAGGTGTTCGAGTCTTCCGGCGGCAGGTTGAAGGTCGTCGGTAGGGCCGGCGTCGGCATCGACAACGTGGATCTGGGGGCGGCGACTGAGTTTGGATGCTTGGTGGTGAATGCGCCCACGGCCAACACCGTCGCCGCCGCCGAGCACGGGATTGCTCTCTTGACCGCCATGGCTCGCAACGTCGCTCAGGCCGACGCGTCTGTGAAAGCTGGTGAGTGATTCTATTACTGTAATCTTTTCTCTGTTTTAAGAAATGTTCGTTGGGGCATTTCGTCGAACATTTTTTATTCAATTTTGGTGCGTTCTCAGGGAAGTGGCAGCGGAACAAGTATGTTGGTGTTTCTCTTGTTGGGAAGACCTTGGCTGTGATGGGATTTGGGAAAGTTGGATCTGAAGTGGCTCGGCGTGCCAAGGGGCTCGGCATGCATGTGATTGCGCACGACCCATATGCACCCGCGGATCGTGCTCGCGCCATTGGTGTGGAGCTTGTGAGCTTTGATGAGGCTCTGGCATCTGCTGATTTCATATCCTTGCACATGCCTCTCACTCCCGCCACTTCAAAGGTTCTCAACGACGAGACTTTTGCGAAGATGAAGAAGGGAGTTAGAATCGTGAACGTTGCTCGTGGGGGAGTTATTGACGAAGATGCACTCGTCAGGGCACTCGACGGAGGAATTGTTGCTCAGGTTGGTTCTTACCCTTTTCATGTTCAATATTCATATGCATTTTAATACTTAGCAGGAAATTTAATGTTTTGTTTTGTTTTTGTTTTTGTTTTTGTTTTTTGATCTCCAGGCTGCTCTTGATGTGTTCACTGTGGAGCCACCACCACAAGGCAACACGTTGGTGTTGCATGAGAGAGTTACTGCAACTCCTCACCTTGGTGCCAGTACCATGGAAGCACAGGTGGGTTTTGCTGTTTTGCATCTGTCTCTTAATGCCTAATTTTTCTCCTCACCTGGGTATCTTATGATCTTTGTAATTTATGTGCAGGAAGGTGTGGCCGTCGAAATTGCTGAAGCTGTCGTTGGAGCCTTGAAAGGGGAGCTTGCTGCCACTGCAGTCAATGCACCAATGGTTCCTGCTGAGGTATGATTACAATTGCCCAATGTATACTTGTCTCTTTCGTTCTTACTGGTTTGTTTGTAGATGTTATAAAACTTCATAGTTGTTTGTTTTATGCAGTCATATCAGGGTTCTAAGAAGTGTCTGAGTAGTCAAATTTTTGAAAATTTCAAGTTTCACTTCCCAAATCTAAAATCTTTGTAATGTGGTAGTGTTTGGTGAAGGGGTGTGGGTTCTGTTCTTACAAATTATGTGCAGGCTTAACGTGTATGTAAATATTTTCAAGCTGTTGCAGCGATTTACAATTTCTTTTGGCATTCTTGATTGCAGGTGTTGACAGAACTGAAGCCATATGTTGTACTTGCTGAGAAACTTGGGAGACTGGCAGTCCAACTAGTGGCTGGAGGCAGTGGTGTGAAAACTGTCAAAGTTTCGTATGCCTCAGCTAGGGCTCCTGATGACCTTGACACTAGGCTGCTTCGAGCCATGATTACTAAGGGTCTCATTGAGCCCATATCCGATGTTTTCGTGAACCTGGTGAATGCTGATTTCACTGCTAAACAGAGAGGACTAAGAATAACAGAAGAGCGAACTGTTCTCGATGGTTCACCCGAGAGCCCACTCGATTCAATCCAAGTTCAGATTGCCAACGTGGAATCCAAATTTGCCAGTGCGATATCAGAGAGTGGAGAGATTACAGTGGAGGGTCGGGTTAAGGATGGGGTTCCTCACTTGACGAAGGTTGGATCATTCGAAGTTGATGTGAGTTTGGAAGGTAGCATAATACTCTGCAGACAGGTTGATCAGCCGGGTATGATCGGACAAGTTGGAAGCATTTTAGGAGAGGAGAATGTGAATGTCAGTTTCATGAGCGTTGGAAGGATTGCTCCAAGAAAGCAGGCTGTGATGGCAATTGGGGTGGATGACCAACCCAGCAAGTCATCTTTGAAAAGGATTGGAGATGTTCCAGCCATTGAAGAGTTTGTTTTCCTCAAGTTGTAGTGTCGCATTATATTCATCTGTGCCTTTTTGTACCCTTGTGCTTTTATCTCTTTTTAAGGGGGCATGGCTTTATCTTGCCTGCCTAATTTTGAAAATCCTTTGGGTTTCTGGTAGATTTAGGGTGAGAATGAACAATAAATCAGTTTGCGATGCTATGGATGTACTTTATTGAGTTATTATTGTCCCCAAATTTCTTGTTCCCTTTTTAACTTTCTCTTGTTTTGATGAATCACCATATTGATATTGCGTGCCAAGTTCCGTGCAATGCTTTTAATTTGCTTTGCAAGTTGCAAAAAGTAATTATTACAAATTGCTTTCATGGCAGCTTTGAGAGAATGCAGTCCTTTTTCCTGCTGGAAATCATTAGGCTTTTAAATGATGGAATTTAGGTTTTCATGAAGGGAATTGAAAATTGCATAGAATTGTTAAATGACGGAATTTAGATTCTAGCAATTAATAATTTCAGTGTTTCACTGTAGAAATTTCGATCGGAAAGTTTAGATTCATGCCAAAAATTCATACCAAATTGTTCCTATGCATA